GACTCCCTGGTCGGCGTAACATTGACTGTCGGTCATCATTTCCATCGTTTTCGCTACAATCAGCAGCCGTGTTACACCACGCAAAGCGATCCGGGCGCCCCGCTCATTCATGTAAATGTATCTGGCTGCCGTTCTTGTCGCTGCTGTGGCTCTGCCGCAACTGCAGGCTGAGGTTACTCTGAATCTGCCGTTGCTTCGACGGTGGGAGCGAAAACAGATCTAATATCAGATCGCTTTGTTAAAGAATCGAGTCACGATTCTGGACGGTCTGCTAAAAGCAGCGACATAATTCCTTCAACTATTCGTCAGAAACGTTGTCTCGAAAGCAACCGGATCGGTCCATCGACTGATGGATAAATTGAGCCTCCGCTCTCCGTTGTCGAACAATAGTCATGAACGGGCTCACGAATAAGGCGATTCCAAGCGAAATAATGCCTTCCCGATTCTGGCGTTTATCGTCGATCCGATGCAACTCCCCCAAGAGAGCGGAAACCCTTCGCGAAACTACTCCTGGCTCGACTATGGCGCCGCGACCCGTACTTGTCAAGAAGAAGGAAAACACATCGGCTCTCGCGCATCGTAGCGGTCATGTCTCGGAATTATTACAAAGACCGTCGCAGCTCTCTGATTCCTTCCCTATCGGAGTTTGTGGCATGACGTCGCCGGGAGGGGGCGGGCAGCCGCTTGAGATAGATGTTGCAGGAGAAAAAAACTCAAAATGCCAGAAATTCACACGAGAAATCGAAGGATAGTGTTTCGTTTGCTGTTCCTTGTGTTTAAAGTAGAAACACACGATCGCGCGCTCGATCACGGAGAAAGGATGCACAGGGCGGGCGGACAGACAGAGTAGAAGAGCCCGAAGAAAAAAGCGAAGAGAAGAAAAAAATCGAAAAGAGCAGGAAATTCACATCGGGAGAGAAAATCGTCTTCAAATTTTTAGTCGTTTTTCGAGACGTGTCTCGTGCGCTTCTGTCCTGTTCGCTGTCTCAGTGAGCGAATGAGAAGCGGCTCGGAGATTTCCCGGGCTAAAAACTCAAAAATCAGTCGGCCACCCGAATAGAGGGGCGAGTCGTCGCTTTGGTTCGAAACCAAATCACATTTTGTGAGAAAATCGAAAATTCGAACCGTTGCCTCTTTACAGCGAGTTTCGTTGCTTGTCTGTTGGCTGGCGCGCTTGGTTTACTTGCTTTTCAGCGGCTTTGCCCTCCTCGGCGACGAAAACGGAAGACGTCTCTTCTTTTGGGGAGCGGTAGCGGGTTTCTGGATGGATTGTCAACTATAGATCGTTCGCTGTCTTCTGGATTCGGAATGAGCCCCGGGTTAGCGAAAGTATTAAGGTCACTAATGATGGCCGGCTGCTTATGGTGAATCCGAATAATCATTGGTCGGGTCGGGTCATATCATTCTCGATTCGCCACCTCCATGAGATGCAAGCCTGAGGTGCCGAATCCGCGGGCTACAGCGATCTGCCTGCAGCGCGGCTCGCGCTCTGGGGTGGCAGTTCACCTCGTGGAGTCTCGTGAGAGTAGTTCAAGAGTAGCTCAAGAGCGATCGTGTCGTTTGGCCAATTCAGGAGTCACGTGTCAGGCACGCGCATGAGATGTTCACATCGATAATGGCATCCAACGTTGGGGATGAGACGACGTGTGCCACAACCTGAGCGCAGGTGAGTCGGTTTTTTCCTCGACGACAGCCATAAAGACTCGGGCTAGTGACGGCACTCTCTTTCCGTGGGTATGAGAGATCTTTCAGTTCCTTGCAAGAGCTCAACCGATCGTTCCGATTCGTGACTCCTCGCTGTAGACGATCAAGGAAAGGAAAGTGGTTCTCGCTTCTCCTTTCCGACTGTGACAATGTTTCGGAGGGACGCGAGAGTACTGCCTCCCCAAATCGTGCTTCCGCCGAGACTCGAGAGAGGAGAACCCCCGCTCCCGGCTCGTGGACGTCCCATGAACGCGTGGCGAATCGTATTTCCTCCCCTTCAGCGTCTTGATGAATCTCCATGTAGACTTTAGTAATACTGCGATTTAACGAGCAAACGACCGACGAATGAAGATACTCATATTCCGACCCTGCACTCGAGCGACAACGCTTGCTGGCGATCCGGAGGCCTTCGAAACTCATGGCGAGACTAAATCTGCGACTGACATTATGCGCGATTGGATTCGCTCTGGCAACAGCATTGACTGCGCCCGCTGCAACTCTTGAGAGACTCCTGATTTTCGAGGGACTTGTTTCGGAGCTCGTGAGAGGCATCGGCTCACCGCCGATTTCTGAATGATTATGTTTTATGCGTATATTGTAGTCCTCATCTGATTCTTTCCCTGCCGCAGTAGAAGAAGTGGCGAGGGAGGAGCGTTCTCCGAAATTCCCCACAGATTGCCGCAGCCGATTTTTCCCTGATCGTGACAATGACCTCTGACGCGAGAGCGCTCTCTGTCGGGTATGTCGGTCAATTAAAAACTAATGGGCAATGGGCTGTCATTAGATGAATCCTGATGACGCGTTTCAAGTCGAAGGCCGCCGAATCATGTGAGCTCACCTCGCCAGGGCACATCTCGACCCACGGTTTTTTCCCATCGAGTTTTCTGGCGTGGGATTTCTTCCCCCAATGCTACGACGTATACTCTGCGGAGGAAAGATTCCTACTCGACGCCACGGTGATCAGCTGACAGAGTTGGAGCGACGCAGAGCGTCGCAACGTAGGCTTCTGTAGCCTCTTCGCAGCCTGCTAAGTGAGTCGAGACACCTGTTGCGGTTCTAATCGAAGGCGGAGGATCCTCCCGATACGCAAATTCAAGGCGATTACGTTTTGCTGACGGAGTTGTTTGTAATGACGTTGCTGCCGTCCTGTGTCATAAGACCGAGAGGATCGACTTGACTGCATAAAAAGGCTCGAAGCTTCGTCTGCTAGCAAATTCACAATGATCGCCCAGATTGTTCGGTTCGCGTTCCTCTTCTGTGCTATTGGCACGGGAGCTTTCGGTCAATCGTCATCGAGTCAACAGAGTACATTGGTAGGTCAAACGGAATATACGTCGGAGCGATGGAATCCCGGAGTTGGATCCGATCTACCCGAGGAAGTGAACTCTTCTGACAAACCTGTCCCCATTCCGACATAGCGCACCGATCTAAAATCTCCATAACCACCGTGTAGGTTCAACTCAATATCGGATACAATAATGGAGAAACGATGACCTCGAGTGTTCCTGCGGGATATTTCTCAAACTGCCGCGTGGACAGACGACGTTTGGAGGCGGGACAGCAAGTGAACATCGACGAGGGTAACGTCCCCTCATGTGTCACCCGTGGGATGCAGAAATACGCTGAAGATCTCCAGAAAGGGCTACGCAATGCAGTGGAACGATTGCAGGAGTCTTCGGACACCGTATCTCGTGAAAGCAATGGTCTCCTGAGCCTCGACGTGAGTTCTCTTACGGGTGGCTTGACGGACAATCTGGATTCGCTCCTCGGAGACGGCGGACTTCTCGACGTGGCGAATCTCCTAAGCATACTTCAACCCCTAACCAAAGATCTAGCGAGCACGGTTCTCGCAGTGGAGAATATCTTGGACGGCGTTGAGCAACAGCTGCGAGAGTTGACCGATGGTCTCGGACAACTTCTGGGTGGCGTATTGGATATCGTTGGTGGCACTGTACGAGGTCTCGGAGACTCGGTGCAGAGAGTCGGAAATCTTGTGGATACGTTGGGCTCGGGCATCGCGAACTCCGGTGGGTCTGTAGTGTCAGGAGTGGTGGATGCCGGTCAGAGCCTGACATCGGGACTGTTGGGTGTTGGTACCGGTCTGACGTCGAGCCTGGCCAACACACTCGCTGACATCGCGAGACTTCTGGGTCGACCGATGTGAGTGCTATTCCTCAAAAACGATGTCTCTCCACCGTGGATGAGCTGTATGTATGATCTCTTTCGACGCCGGCGAGTTTTCGGCTCACTGAAGTGGGAGGGCGTATGCGAGGGGAAAAATCCATTCTCACGAAAAATCACGGTGTATTTTGCGCATTGGAAACACTGACGATATGGTTTCCACCTGACGAATAAACGAAATTTTGTAATGTTCCAAATCTTTCGTGGACCCCCTAGTCGAAAACTAGAATCGATAGTCCAGATACAGGTTTAACGTCCGTGGCATAATCAGCCCGTTTGTAAGCGGCACCGGTTTTTCGACCCCTCTTACCCCTCCTCGCCGGCTGCGGCGGCCGCCGGCGTCGCAGCGGCTGCTGTATCCGATCTTTGACGACCCTGGGTATCGACGTTTCAGTTGGCCGTAGGTTCTGAGCGAGCGGCGATTTCGGCTGACAGTTGATTTCCCGTTTTGCCGCCAGGTGGCTCTAAGGCGGAGCCGAAGATCGGTCCTCCCTGGAGTGCCCTTTCTCTGAGCCGTTTACGTTGCTTCAACCCTAACCACGGCCGGTGTCGGTCGGCATTGTGATCTACTGGTGTCGGATTTCGCGACGTCGCGAAAGCTCGCGTATTTCAGTCGATAAGCAGCAAAGCTCGACAAATCAGCTCGATTCGCTCCGAGCTCGACGGTCTTCGAATCCGTGGATAAAATTCTGTTCACCGATCGGCGTGTCAAGTTCTCGTTCAAACCCGAAGCTCCTCTAGGATAAGTTCCGCGAACCTTCCTTCAACCGGAGAGTGTGAGAAGCAACTCCGCGATACCATCTGCCAGGTGGTGAGTGCAAGACGTCGGCTGAATCGCTCGCGCAATATAACGATAATGATGATCTCGATTAACCCCGGGGATTCGTAGTGCTGCATCCATCCGTCTTGAGAGATTAAGAGCGCCGGAAATCAATATTGAATAGACGAAAGAGCAATTAGTCCACGAACTAGTCAGATCAGCTTTTGTCCACGTGTAGCTCTTCAGTGCGCCTGCCATGACTCCTTATGACTGCTGCGCCGACTCTCCAAGAACATCTGTTCTAGAAGTGTATAATTGAAAGTTATTAAAGGAGACGATTGCGGAACGTGACGTAATGAACAACACCGTCGAGTCGTTGGGCTGCCAGCCCAACGAGGAGCGACTAATCGCTGTGGCTCTCAAGCGCGAAGGTGCTCTCAAGCCGCGGAATTCCAACGCTGGATTGACGGATTCAATCTTCCACAGACGCCGCTGTCTTCTCTATAATGGTCATCTCTTCTGGGGCCATGCACACCCAGACGCCTACCGACCTTTCAGTGCGCAAGGCGTCGCCACCCTTGCCGCATGTTGCACCGCTGACTTCCACACACAACCCATTCCTGATAAGGAATATCATACAGGACAGCCATGCGCCCTCGGTACTGCACAACGCAGGAATGTTCGAACAACATCAGAGACAGGCAATGGCCGCAGCTCAACTGCTCTGGAACGCCGCCCATGGATTAAGTGGAGTGACCGGAAACTTGTCCGCGACTGGCGGCGCGTTCAGACCGCCAGACTCGCAGCCATCGAGACCAGAATCAGCTGGAGGTGAGTTCAGAATTCAATGCGGAAGTACGTCCGTAGATAAGGCTTCGAGGTTTGTGTTGATGGCCGCCTGCATCTCGGTCGGAGCTCGACATCATCGCCGATTGATATCATCGCCGTGCTGAGCATGGTGGGCAAGGTTCCATGTACGGCTCCATCCTCCATCCCGTTGCGCGCACAGATGGATGGAACAAATGAATCGCATCCCCGATCACGTGTACTTCTGAAGGCCAGGTACCCGACTGATGATTCACGTTGAAGCTCCCCGGCACCTTCGACAGCCGGTCAAAAATTGAGCGAGTGTTCCATTGTATCATTTGCCCGCTTCGTGATTCGTTTAGCGAACCTGCGTGTTAATATGTGTGATAATGAATCGAGAGCATTTCTGGCCCTTGCTCCGAAAATTGAACCGCTGCTGCGCCCTTGATTCTCCTTTACAATCAGCTGTTAGCTAGTCTGGTTCGTTGTTCTTCGCTCGGTTTCTGGGAGCAGATCTTTACTTCGTAGCGGCGCTCAGACTCTGTGACCAACTCTCGTGCTCACGATCGGTTTGTTCCGCTCGGAACAGTAGCAATTTAACATAGAGAAACAATATCATTCTTTTCCACCATCATCGTAGTCGTCATATAGGTCTTCCTCTTCTGCATTTTAAAATTTTATCAAATTACGATTAAGAAGTTTAGGTACTTGTTTCGGAGCTTAATAGGGCGCTGCACGGAAGGCTTCCAGAAGGAGGAACCGATGCGACGCTCAAACATTGCCCGGTCTGCTACAGCTAAGCACCCCCATTTCTGTCTAAATATCTTCGTTGGGTGATTTGAGTCGGCGCGGTGCTTGTGGACAGGCGAAAGGAGCCGGAAAAAATATATCTCCATGAGAGACTTGGGAAGCACCAATTAGACAGATCAGGGCATTGAAGAGTCAATGCGAAGTCTCCCTCGAGAGTCTCCAGCCAGACCCTTTGGTTCTGAATAAGAAGGAGAATATCCATCCGGCTCCAGCGAGAATCACGCGGAGCCGAAGTGACGGATTGCAAGAGTCGCTCGAGAAATTACTCGAACGTTGTCCACATGTGGTCATCCATATTGACTCAAGATCTTCAAATCGTCGACGTTGTCTCCAAGAGGAAGTTCTTCCCGGCGATTTATTCCAAGAAGTCCGAGAACGAAAAACAATTCTTCTGTTTCTGCCGGTGTTGGCCAATGCCACAATTTGGCAAATCGTCTTTTTATCAATGGCCGCCGGTAGGATCCAGCCTCTCGATGCCGCTCGGATCTAATGCATCTCCATCCGCGACGGAGATTGACAGCGTAATTCGGGTTCGACAGTTTTCCTCGTCACTTAAAAACATGAGGTGTCGTCATTAAGCATTTCGATTTCGTGTTCCGTCGAATAGAGTATATAATAAGGATCGGCTCCGAGAAAAATATTGAGATCCAGTTTCCGGTTGAGTGGACTCATGGCTACATCGATCTTGAAGAGGGAATGCAGGGAACGAGAGAGAATACGACAGAGCTTTTCTCGTATTGACTCTTCGTCCAAGCTTTGACGTGAACCTGTACCTTCAATCGAAGAATAAGAACCCCGTTCACGTATCGACTTTGATCCTGAATTCAAATAAATTCAACCGAGCGGGTTGAATTTCGGAGAAATCGAACGTTTTCTCTCAAACGAGACAAAGTCAGCTCTCCGTCGCTGGTTCCTGTTCCTCGTCCCGTTGTTCTTGCTTTAGGAGCTCCCGCGCACAATGAAATGAAAGTGCCTCTTGAGAAGGGGACACGGAACTCGCTGAAAGCAGTGCTGGTCGAGAACGAGGCGGAGGGAATCTAAATTCATGGAGAAACAAAGAGCAAGTCTCCTCTCTAAAATATTTGAAGCTTCTCCATTTTTCTGTGCGCGTCTTATAAGGACTTCGCGGAGGATTCCCATCAGGATTCATGTCTCGGCAGAGGTTCATGGTTCGGTAGGAGAACAGTTTTTTTTTGTGGTACTGGATTCCCCCATTCAGGGGTGAGCTGCCGGTCCAGATACCGACCTTCCTCTAACCAAAATTAGGGTGGTTCATGAGATCTGCGCCCCGTCGCCAGCTGAGGTGATCTGATCCCTAAGTCGGTCACGGTTGCAATGTTTGTTTCGAAATCGCCGAAACTGTGAATAACAGTCGCGACGGAATTACGGAGGACTTTTTTTACTCGAGCGTTTCTACCACGACGAGCATGAAGCCGCCGCGACAGGAATCGTCCACCCGTCGCTTGAACTACGCTGTTTTTCTCGATTATCTCTCGCCCAGGACCGCAGGGTTCGCATCCATGCCCCGATTGTCACCGAGGAATGGTGGGTTGCTCCCGAACGCGTGAGTTGTCTCATTCAGTCGGCAGGCTTCCCGACTCACCCGCAAACTCACCCAATCGCTTGGACGGACCATCTTCCAACCTCGGTTTGACGCTCGTCCGCACCGAGAGCAACGGGTTTTGTTGCTAACATTATTACTTTGTTGTGCCAGATGGCTGCGAACACAAGCCGAAATGCGTCGAGTGGGAGTGCTGGGCCGCTCGAGCTGATGATCGCTGCCATTTAGAGGAGTTTAGTCCATTGGCCTTTTTTTCCTCCGTTGATCATTCGACTCCGGCTGCCTGCGCGTCTCCGGCAGGCCAGCCTCCTTGCCTCCCTGCTGCCAGTCGAACGAACCGAATTCTTTGTGCTTCATCATATAGCATCTAGAAACACGAAAATGAAGAAGACCAAAGCGATCAGTGCACACAATCGTCTTTCTCTCCACCACCACCTACACTTGATCTACAATGCTCAATTCTCACGCGTCCGCTGAAAATAAACATAACAACAACAACGCCGGCAGCAACAAGCTCGACGGGATGAACAACATCGGTCAAAAGTCGTCTCCGGGATGCGTATCGCGGATTTCGCGGAAAACCCTTATTTACACTATAGGGATTGCAGAGTATGGTGGCAACAAGCGAAGCCGAGGTGCTGTCCGTTGTCGCGGATTGGTTTGGCATCTTCGTCTCATCGTTAGCGTGGTGTTGGCGTCTCATCATAGAGCACCGCTTCTCATCTCGCTCGGAGTGGACAGCGGAACTTGAGCGGCAGCAAATGTGGCGCCAAAAAATCATCACCAGTCAGTCAGTCACTTACTCGCTCGCCCGCTCGCTCAGTCATGGAGGTAGTCAGTCAGTCACAGCGGACGATGATTTGAGTATGGCGGCGTCAAAAGTGACTTCCGCTGCCGCAGACACCACCGTCGAGACTCAAATTGAGAGTCAGAGACGAACTAGCGGTCGCAGTTCAACAAAATTCAACTGAGCCAGTGAGTGAAACGGCGCGCGGGCACATCAAAAGGCTCTTTTCGTTAGACTTACCCGCGAAGAGTCAAAAATCGGCCAGCTACCACGTCGGCTGACACGCACACTAACACGCGAGGCCGAATGAGAAAAACCAACAGAAATCAAAAGTCAAAGGAACACAATCAGAAAAACGAAGAGAAAAAAATGACGCCTTACCAACAATTTCGGTCACACCATCGCGAGAAATCGAGGTGCCCCGTCTGATCGGACAGCACCGCCAGCCAGCGCCACCGCGAGTCGTGTCGGATGGGTGCGAACAAACCGAACAGCTCATCGCATCCGGACGATCCGATTTCGGTGGAATCGAAGCGCGGTATTCTTTTTCGGCGATCCTCACGAGCGATCGCACCGACTTTTTGAGTTTGGGGAAGGACTTAATTCCAAGATTTCAATTTCGTTGCCCGTAGGACAAATTGAGTGAGATCAATTCGTTCCTTTGTTTACTCGGCTCCGCGCTCAGGTGTCAGTCGAAAGCAGCGTCGACTCCTAAACCGAACACCGCGGCAGATTTATCCATTGCGCGACTCGAATTCAATTGATCTGCGATTTGTCTGGCGGAGCGTGACTTCGCTTACCCGACCACGTGATTGTAGCCCTGGTAGTTTTCAGCCAGTTCTCGAACTGAATGAGCGCTGACCGCACTTGAGCTCTTATCCCAAGCGACGACTTAATCGATTGCGTCGCGAAGATAGCCTCAAGAAAAAATCGGTTGTCGAATAAGTTTAGGAAGTTCCGGAGTGGTGCTCCGCTTGTGAACTTATCGTTAGTTCCATCTCCGACGCCAACACCAATGCAGTAGCTATGACATCGGCGGTGGCGGCGGCAAAATCCAATGGCGAAAATGACGTAGAATCGCTGACGACAAAAATGTCTCGTTTCGTCTCTTTCGCTTCTGCTTCTGGCTCTTACTGTCCGCCCAAGACGAGGCAGAAAATGCGAAAACGACGACTTCAGCAAAAATGGCATGGGTTCGGCGCGGCCGTTTAGTTCCCATCGCTCGAAACAGCTCCAGCAGCAACAGACCTATAGATCCACTTAGAGGTAAGAAGAAGATATGAAGAGCGGGAAAAAACTCAGCTATGCCAGCTATCTTGACTGACTCGTTCTTGTTTCGACGTGACAGGACGTCGTTATCTGGCGTTTTCATGCCCGCTGTCCGCAAACCCCTATGTAAAATCAATTGAGGGAAAACAGCGCGGTCTTCCACGGTTCCCATGTACGATTCACGAGACTCCTACTCCCTAAATTTTCCGTGCTCCGTGTCAAACCTCTTCGCACTCAGCACCCGCAACATACCGGCGTACGGGACTGGGGAATCGCGAGAACGCTCTCCGGTGTCGGACTCATCGCCTTCGTACGGTTGTGGGCGGTGCCATCATCGAAGACTAACAATAAGTCTCGCGACGACTTTGTTTACAAAAAGTTGGAAACGGTCATCGACGGCACGGTCTGACAGAGCGTTCGGAACACTGGATCGCCGTTCCTCTCCGCTCATTGGAAACTGAATTGAAACCGCGACATTATAAAAAAAAGCGAGAAAAATTGCGCCTTCGCTCTGAATTGTAATCATCGCTGCCTACAGAGGCGGCATCGGCGGTCATCTCAGCGACAGTTTCACGAATACCTACGCAAAGAGAGCGA